TTTAGGTAGTGCCTAAACTATTAAAGATTGCTTCTGGTGGTGGAGAGAAACTTCTCTGTTCCATCATGCAACCATTATATAGTGCAGGGATGTGAGAGACAATCTCCTCAGCTGTACCATTCCAGCTGTAGAAAATCCTCCCATTATGGAACTAACATAGTATTAAATATTTCATCATTATACCTCAACTACATGCTATATTCTAATTTGGTACAACTGTTTTCCATTCCTTCCAACTGTTTACATGACTTTAGACTCCTTTTACTAATTATACAATGAGATCTTCACACAAGAACAGAATCATGCAAATAAACCAGAGATTGCAACTTGGGTGGATCAAAGAACTATTTTTCTCTCATCAGGACCCTTCAATGGGTGGTAATAAATAAGAAAATGCAAAAAGGAAAGCAGAAGTGGGGGAAAAGGCATTTGGGATTGTTAAATGGAACAGGGAGCATATGACATCTTTACATTGAAGTGACCTCAGTGAACTGTCACTCCTAATAACTTCAAAGACCTGTTATTCACTTTCTTTCCCTCTTTCTTTTTCTTTTCTTCCCCCTCCCCTGTTTGTTTTTGTGGCCAGAAACACATGGCCAGAGCACACCAAGCCCTCCTGTCTTCCACTGCATCCTGGAGTTGGGTCAAATTCATATTGGTTGTTTCAGTTACACTGTTCAACTATCTTGTCCTCTGACGTCCCCTTCTCCTCTTGCCTTCACAGTTTCCCAACATCAGGGTCTTTTCCAGAGAGTTTTCTCCTCTCATGAGACGGTCAAAGTACTGGAGCCTCAGCTTCAGGATCTGTCCTTCCAGTGAGCACTCGGGGTTGATTTCCTTCAAAATTGGATAGGTTTGTTCTCTTTGCAGTCCAGGGGACTCTCCTCCAGCACCATAATTCAAAGGCATCAATTCTTCGGCGGTCAGCCTTCTTTATGGTCCAGCTCTCACTTCCATACATTACTACTGGAAAAACCATAGCTTTGACTGTATGGACCTTTGTCCATACTTTGAACCTAGCAAACATCATTTTTATGATACACTGGCAAGAAAAAGCTGAAATGAGAGTTGACGATCAAATATCAAAGGATATGAAGAAGAATTTGATATGGTTGCCACTTTTTTTAAGCTATCATTCTACAGAGATTAAAGAGCTTTCCATCTGATCTAGTTCAGAGATAGACACCTTCTGTTGTAGTTCCAAAGGTGTGCTTCAGCATGACAGCAAAAAAAGATCCCAAACAGTAAAATATTGTTTTGTTTTATTTTAATATTGTTGTTAGCCACCCAGAGTAGACTTCGGTCTAAATGGGTGGGATATAAATTAAACAAATAAACAACTAAATAAACAAACAAACAGTGTCGGTGCGAGGACACAGCCCTGTTTCTATCCACTTCGGATGTCAAAGGGATCTGATGTTGAGCCATCGAAAACTATAGTGCCCTTCATTTCCTCATGAAAGGACCTGATGGTGTTAAGGAGTCGAGGTGGACATCCCGTCTTGGGAAGTATTTTTAAAAGGCCATCCCTGCTAACCAAATCAAAGGCCTTTGTAAGAACTATGAAGGCCACAAACAGTGACTGTTGTTCCCTACATTTCTCCTACAACTGTCTGAGGGAAAATACCATGTCAGTGGTGGATCTATTAGCTCGAAATCCACACTGTGATTCTGGATAGACTTTGTCTGCAAGCACCTGGAGCCTCTTCAGCACAACACGGGCAAGCAGCTTCCCTACAACGCTGAGAAGAGAGATGCCACAGTGGTTATTGCAGCTGCCCCCATCTCTTTTGTTCTTATATAATGTGATGATGCATCCTTCATGTCCTGTGGCACCCCACCTTCTGTCCAGCAAAGGCAAAAGATTTAATACAGCTCAGTGGTGATGACCTCTTTACAGCACTTCAGCACTTCAACAGGGATGTTATTCTTCCCAGGTGCCTTGCTGGAGGCGAGGGAATCAAAGGCCGCTTTTAGGCATACTAAAGTTAGTTTGCTGTCCATCTCTTCCAAGACAGGCAGGCACTCAATGTTATTTAATGCCTCTTCAGTTACTACATTCTCTCTGGAATATAGCTCAGAGTAGTGCTGCATCCAGCATTCCATCTGCTGTGCTTGGTCCTGGATGATCACGCCTGTAGCAGACTTCAAGGGAGCAGATTTCTTCTGTATTGGACCTAAAGCCTGCTTGATATTGTCATACATTCCCTTGATGTTACCTGTGTCTGCTGCTATCTGTATCTGAGAACAGAGCTGAAGCCAAGAAACATTAGAACATCTCCTGGCGGTCTGTGGGACTTTGCTACGAGCAACTTGAAGAACCTGCAAGTTGTACTCACTAGGACAGGCTTTGTACTGTATGCTGCTAGAGTTCTCCTCTTTTCCTCGATGGATGAATAAGAGGTTCTTATTATTTCCTAGATTATCTGCCTTTTTATACCCACTCTAATTTGCCCAGTGGCATTAGGTATCAGATTTGTCTGGCCTGGCTTGACATTGGGTGTTAAACTGAAAAAGATACGTCAGTTAGCCGAGAGCCATCTTTCTGGTATTACCTGTTCTCCACTGAAAACATTAGGTAATCCACTCAAGGTCTTTTGGAATCTTCCTTATGCAACCCTGGGGGTTGTGGTCAGCAGCTGGTCTTGACATGCCCAAAGACAGATTTGATTCATGGAAATGGATTTTCTTGACAACCCGGTTACAGACAGCTTAGAAACATGCACTTATGGAACAGTGCTTCCTCCCAAACTGCCAGTGTGCATTAGAGTGATTTCATATACTGTAGAACCATAAAACCAAGCAAAAGGACATCTTGCCCAAACCTGCTATGTGAAGCTGAGCTATCTTTATTCCTGTGTCAATGGTGATCAAGCTCTTTAATATACCTGCTGCCTGATTGGAGCAGTTCCTGTACCCAATATAGGTCAACTCAGAGCTCAGAAAAGTTACTTCTTTGGACTACAATTTCCAGAATCTCCCAAGCCAGCAAAGCTAGTAAAAGAAGATAAAAACAGTGTGTATATATCTCCTCACTGCCATATAGTGTATAGGGACAGCATGTAATTTAATGCTTTCACATATTGGCTCCCAACAAGCTCAGCCTATTGAAATTTTGTCAAATGTTGTAATTAGCTTTTGGTGTATCTATAAATAAATATTCAAAGTGCTTGCTGCATTTTTTTTCAAATCCTGGTGTTAAAGTACATTGTTCTTAAACAAACATGTGGACCATATCAGAGCTGTAACAGCAATGTTGGCATCTGGGGTTTTCCTCCTGTATTGGGTAAGCATAGGTTACATGAGATTGGCATAAGGTGGAAGAGGATGAGGTTGTCTGGCTTTGAATATGTGATGGCCATATTGGCTGCACGGTGAGTCTGTATGCCTTGTGTTTCCTTCTGCCTAGGGAAGATTGTCTGGAGATGATAGGCAAGTGCATATCCTTTCAACAGAAAATCTTACACCCCTCTGAATGTTGGTGCGTAGAGTCAAAGCCCCAGTTGATGCCACCCTAGCTGCAGCTTTGTGTGCAGTGACTCTTTCTTGATGATGGCCTGATTTTGTAGGTATTTCAGTACTTGAAAAAAAAAATAGAATATCCTCCCCCCACAAAAAAAGAATCACCTCCAATAGATGCATAAACTTGCTTCAGCTCCATTTGGATAGACCCAATTTCACATTAATTTTCAGCAACCAGAGCACAATCTGTGTTTGAAAACAATAAACTGTTGAATATGAATGGGTGACAATTTTGTTTCAGATTTTCTTTGTTAATGCTTAATACTTGTGATTTTTTTCCATCTCTGTCAAGGAAAGAATTTGAGATTTGAAAAAAAATCAAACGTGATAAGAAAGAGATTGATACATTCGTCCACCTAGGCTCAGGGACTTGAGTGCTTCACTCTAAAACAGTGGTCCTCAACCTTGGGCCTCCAGATGTTCTTGGACTTCAGCTCCCAGAAATCCTGGCCAGCAGAAGTGGTGGTGGTGAAGGCTTCTGGGAGTTGTAGTCCAAGAACACCTGGAGGCCCAAGGTTGGGGACCACTGCTCTAAAACACGGCTTTGGATACTTGGATAGGCTGTCATACAGAGAAGGGGCAGGATCTGTTCTCAATCATCCCAGAGTGCAGGACACACAATAATGGGCTCAAGTTACAGGAAGCCAGATTTCAATTGAATGTCATGAAAAACTTCCTAACTGTTACAGCAGTAAGACAGTGGAACCAATTACCTCTTGCTCCAACAGTGGAGGCATTCAAGAGAAAGACAACCATATGGCAATTTCCCTTTGATTTGTATTCCTGCACTGAGCAGGGGGTTGGACTTGATGGCCTTATAGGCCCCTTCCAACTTCACTGTTCTATGATTGTATGAATATGCAACAACATTGGGGTGAATTAGAGTTGCCACCTCTCTCTCACCCCCTCCCCAAGAGGCTCCTCATCTTTCATGGTTGCAGCAGGTAAGTTACAGTCTATTCCTTTCCATTCATGGGATAACGTAACTATTAAGCTTAGGCAGTGCAAATGGGACTTAATTCATTTTGGGGGGGATATTCCAACATTCACTCATTTCTTCATATTTAAGACATTAGTATCGTAAAACATCCCATAGTAGGCATATAAATAATCTAGTTTCTATTTTTCACATTATCATATTTTTTAAAAAAAAACTTCAAGGTCTTTCTGTCTTAAATATGAAGAAATGAGTGAATGTTGGAATTTTGGAGTATTGGGTGGTGCAGGACATATATATATATTGTCAGGACACTTTCCAGTCCCTTCTTCATGCATTACTTTGCATTTTTAAAATAAAAATTTATCCTGCAGCACCCAATAACTTCCATCATACCCCTCATTTCCTCATTTTCTTTAGACCAAAGTGCATGACCCTCCGAGCCCATTTGCTTAGCACTTCAGACTCCTAGTAAGGAGTTCTGCATTTCCATGTGTAAACACAAGTTACTAGGAACTAGAATAACTTAATGACATTTTTATTGATCTCATGGTCTATAAAGGAGTAGGAGGTATGAGAACAAGTGCATCACTTGCATTTATGTTAAATTAAATTACAAGCAGTTTGGATAGCAGTTTTTGTGCAAAACTAAGGAAGAAATATTCGAGGCCCCCAAGTTCACATGCAGTATCAACAAGGAAAAGAACTCTTCGCATTAAATAGGAGAACTTCCATTGTTTTTCCCCCTGAATATAAGTGCTTCTTTTCTTCAAACCAGCAAAATCAAATGCGCCGTTTGATCTCAGATACATGTGTAGAAACTACTTGTCCATTCACACTTTCCTGCACAACAGATGTTAGATTCTTGTTGGCTGATCCAGATTCTGGAAGAAATTTGAAGCATTATGGTTATGATTATGAGGATATGCAAGATATGTATACATATAGCATATAGTTAAAGATGCTTGGGACTGAAGGTACATAACGTCCACATTTCTGGGAAGCCTGAAATAGATAAACTCACTCTTATAACACCTTATTAGGTCTGAAAATATGGCCATGTTTACATCTAGCAATCAAAATATAGGGCAGTGTTTTGCATTTTACATCCACCTACTCAAAAGTAGCATGAACAGCTTGCTGTCAGATAAGTGCGTATAAGACTACAGCTTTCTTCACACTTCAGTCATGTCTCAGATTCCTGTCCATAATAAATTACTGTCTATAATAATTTCTGTTGAGGTGTGCAGAACAAACTTTTCTATGTGTACAGATGCAAACCTTTGCAGTAGATATATAAACAGTCTTGAAGTTGAGTGATTTTGTGCTTTTTTGTTATGCTCACACCTCACAGAACCTTTGTTAGATCCACCACAAAGACCTCAAAAAGGATGGATTCCTAATGTGAGAGCTCTTTTGTAAAAGTAACTGAAGTGAGCTGGTATTTCAGAAAAGTAATGTATATGAGCTATACAAGCTCAGCTAGCTCTTATTTGAAGACAATAAACACGATAAGACGAAGAGCCACCTGCTCATATATTTAATGTGGGCCTTCTTCAGAGACTTAGGTTACAGAACTGTGACTACGTATAAACAGTAGACAGCAGCTTCTTGGTTCCCAGAATGGTCAAACAGATGCCCTGGGAAACCTGACAAGTAGGATATGAGGGCAACTGCTTTTTCCCATTCTTGTTTCCTGCCGACTGGAATCCAGAGCCATACTGCCTCTGGAGATAATATAAAGCCCACTTTAGTAACCTTATCCTCCACAAATCTGTCCAATCCTTTTTAAAGCTACCTTTTAAAAAAAAAAATCAGGAATGTTACCTCTTAAGCTTGACTTGGAGCCTTTCATCCTGTAAAATGATAAAAAGTAAAAGCAACATAAATCTTTAGTGATGGTCAAGAAAGGTCTTCAGTCCGCTGCAAGTTTCTTTTAGAAATTACCCTAAATGGTAAGGAACTCCACTCATGCTTTTATTCAAAATATAGGTGAAGATAGGTGTGCGTCACAGAGAAGATAGGGTTGGAACTTTCTGAAGGGTTGGACAAATCCCTTTATTCACACCTATTGGGAATTATATATATCATGGCCCAATTTGGAGAAGGTTGGTGCATAGAGATATACAGTGGTGCCTCGCTTAACAAGCGCACCGCATAACGATGAAATCGCATAGCAATCCGTTTTTTCGGATCGCTAATGAGATCGCTTAATGTTTTTTGAATAGGGCTAAATTCGCTTTGCGAAGACCGGTAAGCGTTTCGCTTACCGATCTTCGCAAAACAAAGCCCGACGATCAGCTGTTCGGCGGCCAAAATGGTCGCCGGAAGCCCGGAAATGGCCCAAAATGGCCGCGCGCAGCATTTTCGTGCCCTCGTTAAGCGAGGCGAGGGCGCAAAAATGGCTGCCGGCCATTACGAAGCTTCGCTGAACGGTGAGTATTTCGCCCATTTGGAATGCATTAAACGATGTTTAATGGGTTCCAATGGGTTTTTTTGATCCGTTCAACGATGCTTCAGCATAGCGAAGGTTAATCCGGAACGGATTAACCTCGCTATGTGAGGCACCACTGTATAGCTGCCTTGAATAACCATGTTAACATTGATTAGATGTGCACTTGACTATTGTGCCATGCATGTCTGAACTGATTCTATGCAAGGAATGATGACTGCCCGCAGTCAAAAAGTGCTATGAAGTGCTATATAAGTTTGTTCTTTCAGATGTATGCCTGTATAGTTTGACCTGAGGCTTGCTTTCAGACTCATTTGTTCACTAGCTTAGCTTTTCTGCTGTGCACTGCTTCTGTATAAATCAGTGGTCAGGGAACAGGGATAAATTACCTCAAATGGGGTAAAAATGAAAATCCTGGGGGTAATGAACAAAGCACTACCCCCCCACTCCCACCCCCTGCAGCCGAACTTCAGAGTGGAGGCCACCTCTCCCTCCTTCCTTGGTTGTGGCACTTGTAAATCCTCAGTTCTTTTAGAGATCGGAGATAAGGCTGCTTGATTGGTTACAGCTGTAGAACAGCCCTGGGAAGTCAATCCGGCTTGTGAATGACTGCTTCCACCAGAGGTGATTGCAAGCAGGAGGAGGGAAAGCTCCAGTTAAGGAGGGAAGGAAGGTGTGATAGAGCGACGGGTGGCTTCATCAGCTTGCTTCATCAGCTTGTTTAAATGTACAGTATGTAGAAAATTGAGGGAGGGAGGGCGGATGTGTTTGTGTGTGTGAAAGAGAGAGACTGACTCAAAACTGAAAAAAGGAACAGGCAAGAAGGACAGAAGGCTTGAATTAAGGTGGGGAAACGGTGGCTTCATCAAGCTTATTTAAATGTAATGAGAGGAAATGGACATACTGAACTGAAGCAACTAATTGTTGAAAATTGAGGGAGGAAGGGTTTGTGTGTGTGTGTGTGTGTGTGTGTGTGTGTGTGTGTGAGAGAGAGAGAGAGAGAGAGAGAGAGTTGACTCTTTCATAAAACCATGAAAAAAGGAACCTTCTAAAATTTAATCTCCACTGCATTTAGCTCTTCAGGTTCTGCTCAGAACAAGAAGTCTGAAGTGTGTAGCAATCATGTTTCTCTATTCGCATCCCCAAAGCAGATAAGAGTATCATAGTTTATTCCCAAAATCTGAATCCCAGTCTTTCTGCTCCTGGTCCTACTTTGACTGCGGCACCAAACAAAAGACTGTGGGTTTCTTTACTGAGTCAATCCATCTCATGTGCAGTCTCCCTCTTTTCCTACTGCATTGCACTTTTTCCTGCATTGCTGCCTTTTCCAGTGAGCTTGTTTCTTATGATGCCACTGTAGTACTGTACCCTTTGTTTGGTTATTTTAGCTTCTAGTGAAAGCTCACACTTAATTGCTTTACTTATCTTTCTGACAACTCATAATAAGTTTGTCATTGCTTTCCTCCCAAGAAGCAGGCGTCTTTAATTTCGTGGCTGCTGTCACCATCTGCAGTCATCATGGAGCCCAAGAAAGAAATCTGTCACTGCCTCCATATCTTCCCCTTCTATTTGCCAGGAGGTGATGGGACCAGTGGCCATGATCTTGTTCCCTGACCCCTGGTATAAATGAATCCCCCACAGTCAATGAATTCAAAACATAGCTCTCTGTTTCCCTATTGCCTTACCCATCGACTTTTCCCTCCAGAAGCTGGCGATAAGTAGCGATCTCTGTCTCCAGTCGCGTTTTTATCCCCAGGAGGACCTTGTATTGGTTATTTTGAGTCTTGATGTCATGGCGAAACTCACTGAGCTCTTCTTCACATTTGGAGATTAAGTCTTGGATGGCTTGAAGCTGGAAAGCATAGAGAGACTTGGCTTCCTCTAAGTTGTTTTCCAGGGCGAATTTCTGAAAGAGCAAAACATTCCAATTATGTTATTGCGCTAAAATGTGCATGGTAACTACAGAAAACATTGTTATGTACTTGAGGATTTGCAAACAATGGCCTCAGCAATTGTAGACATCACACTTTTATCTTAATGTCTGTCAATATATTGCGCTAGGTCACTACATTCCCCTTCTTCCTCTCCTCTTGATTTTTAAGTTTAAAATTAGTAATCTGATCCTGTATGGTCTGCTATGTGCCATCAAGTCAGAACGGAATATAACAACTTCAGTAGGGTTTTCAGTGTAAGAAAGTTATTTAAGGAGTGGTCTTACCAGTTCTACCCGCCTGTGAATTTCCATGGCAGAGCCAGGGAATTGAACTCAGGAGTCCTACTCCATTATTCTATCCACCACACTACACTGGGTATTTTTATATTTCTCTCTGTGTGTTCTGTGCTGTCAAGTCAGAATGTGGCCCTATCAAGGCTTCCAAGAAAAGTGAGATACAGTATTTAAGGAGGCATGTTAACATTTCCACACTCCCAGTGAGCTTCCATGGCTGAGCAGGGATTTGACACCTGTTCTCCAGGGTCCTAGTCCATCACGCTATCCACTACACCACTGGTTCTTAACCTTGGGTTACTCAGGAGTTTTGGACTGCAACTCCCAGAAGCCTTCACCATCAACTGTGCTGGCTGGGGTTTCTGGGAGTTGCAGTTCAAAAACATCAGAGTAACAAAGGTTAAGAACCACTGCACTACACCACACTGGTACTTTTATATGTCTACACAGATGTAAATCTCTTTGCCTTTAGTAGAGTCTCCTCCCAGATAAACAGATACAGGATTGTAGCCTTCATTGCTCATGGCAAGGACCTGCCTTTCACCAAGTGCTGTCTACATGAGCGGTATGATTTAATCTGTCTCTGTGTGGCCATGTTTTGTTCTTCCTCACATCAAGAGAGGCTGTCATGTAATGGGACAGGAGTATCCGAGAACCAATTCCACTGTTTTAATGCCAATTCTTTTATGATGATTCATTAGATTCCCCTTTAGGGCATAGCTATTGTGTTAAGGCTCAGTGCTGAGAAGAACAAGTCAAAAGTATCTGTTATGATGAGGAGCAGAATTAATTGCCACTCACCACTAGCCATTCACAACTAGCCTTTCTTGTTACATAAGGTGTGGCTCCCAGGCAGGATAAAGCCTCAGCTACTCTCTTTAGAAACGAACTTCGGTCTTGTACAGAGCTATTCACAGGGAAATATGAAGGTTTACGATACCAGCAACTCACTCCTCTGCCTTTCAAAGATCTGCCAGAACCTTGTATTCCCATGTCATTGTTAGCAGACTGTCCTGCTGATTGCTGTCCATTTCCTTTTCCGTTGTGATAATGGTTAGCTTTAAGAATATTGTTGACAAAAATCATGAGATATATTTATATCTGTGGATGCTAGACATAATGTCTGAGAGACTAACAGGGGATTCATTTCAAGAACTAGGGGAAAAGTACAGGAATGTTGCATTCATAGGGCATGTGTGTCACCTTCTTATATTGTTTATGAGCTTCCAGAGGCACGATGTGGCTGCCTGCCAAAAGTTAGAAGGACCTTGGTTTGATCCAACAGAAGGACTTTGGCTTGATTCATACACCGCTCCACAGTCTTTACAGAGAAATAGAAAAGGACACAATGGGCAAAAAAAGAGAGGAGGGGTCAGAAAGAGAGGACCGTTTCTGGCTTTGCTTCTGCTCACATTCAGCTTGAGGTCCTCAACAGAATGCAGCCTTTGGCAGATACAGTATAAAGTTACTCATACCAGGTACAGTGGACCCTCGACTTACAGACGGCTCGACTTACAGACTTTTCAAGTTACAGACTTCTCTGGCCACAAAATTTAGATTGATACCAGGTATGAGAAATGTTTTCTTCTGAATTTCTGCTACAGCACCAGTACAATCAGCCATGCCTGCCCACATTTAAAATCAAAGGATAATATGGAAGGATATACTAGGGGGTCAGAAAACTCATTCACCATCTATCCTGCCATGCTGTGCACCTTTTATTCTCCTATGCTGCACGCCTTTGGTGGTTACCTTGTTTAGTTGCATCTGGAAATCGATTTCCAGGGTTTGCAGTGTGCGATTCAGCTCGCTGATTTCTTTGTGGCTGCTTTGTATTTCATCCTGGTTGGGGCTTCCTTCCAAAGATTCACTTTCAATCTGTGGAATAAAAGCAGATGTAAACTGATTATAGCATCTTTGCTGTAAACAGGCTAGCTGAGTCAGTTTTAAAGACACTCTTTTCACAAGGCCTTGTGAGTGATAACTAAGTGCAAGGTATACTGGCAATAAAAACTTCAATTGAATTGATTTTAGTGTTATTTAGATCAATTTATAAATCTCCAGGCATACAATGCATGGGTGAAATTGATTTATTTGGGCTTCAAAGTGAGTATTTTTAAAGAAGTGAGCAGGAGCTTTTTAAAATACCTCAGATCCTAAATAAATTCAATTAAATGCATCTTTGTGGATGTGAATACTGTTTTCATTTTAATTTGTGCATACCGTATGTGGATTTTGAGACACCGTCATTTTCCTTAATTTTTTAAAAATATATATATTTTTTAAATGTTTAGTAAGCCTATTGCTTAGTGCAGTACGACCAGATACGAATTTCATGTGTTGCCATGAGTTTGTAGCTGCATGACTTCATCAATACGTTTGGCAATACAACCGTCTACCTAATTCTCTCAATTTGACCAATTAAACCATATTTTTCCATGATTAATCAGGTGGGGTCACCTCTCCAGTGTTTCCTGTGCAATTTCTTGCTTTTATGACACCAGGTGGCACCTCACAGACATTCAATTTAGTGATGCATTACTTACTTTTTTTAAAAAAAATATTAAACAAAAAATTAACCAAGAATGTGCTCTGCAAACAGAACAGAAATTGAGTCAATTCTAGAGTAGCTTTCCAAACTGGTTTTAATGACCAGAAATGCATCAAAGTAAATTACCGGTAAGTAAAAGTGAATGTGCCTACCAAGTTATGTACTGTGTAACTTTACAAGGATTTTTAAAAAGTTAGGACTGGAATCAATGTAAATCGGCACTGTGATTGAGCCCTAAGAATTCTTCCTATCAAGGCTTATTTTGTAGAAGATTAATTTTTTCTTCCAGAGCAGAGGCCAACTTGGATGAACTGCTAAGGAGTGCACAGAACAATTTTCAGCATCTTTTGTGTGAGGATTTTTCAATCTTACACTTTAATATGGCAGTATTTATTTATTTAAAATGTTTTTACCCCACTTTTCTCCTCAAAAGGACCCAACAAAATTTGTTCCGTATCTTAGAAGACGGAGCTTGTACATTTGTACCAGTCTAGAACATTTAACTAGGTGTAAACCCGTATAAAATGGAAGTTAAAATATTATTTGCCAGTTTGTGGCCACACATGAAATAAGATTCTGGTCTAAGTGAAGTCGGAAACAAAGGAGAATGGTACTCTCTGAGATTAGAAGGAAAGTTTCTTAAGTGCCAATATTGAGACACATATTTCATATGTTTGGAAAGATGTTTATTGTGAGTGCAGGGAGAAAGAGGGTGGAACTGTGGCTTTATGGAATGGCATTAACTCAGCACAGCTTCATAACACCCTGAGGTGCTATGTACCTGTTTGTACATAACAACTGTTTAGAACTGTAGCCCAGCCTTCCAAAATCACAGGTGTTACAATTGTTTTAGACCATCAGCTCCTACCTTCCTGGGCCTGCATGGCGATTGACCATACTGCCTTAGGATGACTGGAGGTATACTGCAAGTCATCTAAATTGACAAAGCTACTAAACACAACAGTTTTTCCCACGTCCCATCTCATTTGTTCCAGGAATACCTGTTGCTGGAACCAGGCATCAAGGCTCTTACGGTTCTTTTCTATAATTGTTTCATAATCAGCCCTTATCGCTGCCAGGATTTTGGCCAGATCTTCTTGTGGAGCTGTCTTGACCTTCACATCCACCTTGTAGTCCTTAGAAGAGCCATTGGCTTCCATCTCCTAGAGAAAATGATAGGGAGAAGGATATTGGCATATATCTCATTAAAAATTGAGAAAAGGAGAATCCATAGTTGCTTTCCTTCATATCTACCACTTCTTCTCTTTGGGTCGGAAACAAAAATGATTTTAAGGCGGACTTTCTTCTCTTTATCAATCTATTATTTGATCTTTTTCTCTCTTGCATGCAAGAACATACTTGATTCATGTGACTAATATAGAAAAGTACAAGAGAAGCATCTTGGATTGGGGAAATTCTCAAAATAGATAGGATCAAATAACACTTATCATTGTTAAAACATGGCAGTGGAAAAGAGCAAGACACGGGGACCCAGGGCAGGCCATGATCTTTCCCATCCCATAAGCAGAAATGGAATTGGCCAATAAGAATAATCTTTACGTGCTGATTTAAAAGGATCTGACATGGAGCACCTTCTCATTAAGACCTAAGACTTGCCAGAAACTTTCCAGACCACTAAGAGTCCTTTGGGGGAATATGGAGGCACAGCTTTATAGCACCCTAGGTCGATGTATGAGAAAGGACTGTGTAACTTTGAAGGGCAGGTAAAGAAAATTTGCAGGCCCCAAAAGCTGTTGAACTGTTAATCTCATCATACCACATAATTAGCCAAGTTAGCTGAGGCTGATGGGCACTGGAGTCCAAGAGCCATGGGCATGGTCCCACATCCTAGAAGGCCTGCCAGTGATCCAAGGAAAAAAAGTGCTCCTCCAACCTGCCTTGCTCTCCACCATTGTTCCTGAATTCTAAAATAGGTGTGCTTGTTCTAGAATACATGCTGAACATGGTCAAAAAGGGAAGTAGTAATGAAAGGGAGGTTTTCTTTGAGTACTGGAGTGCCAGATTATAGTCTCCCAAACTGTGCTACCACCTCCTCCTCTTCCTCCTCCTTCCTTCGTGCCAAGAGAACATTGACTGCAGCATGTGGAAGATGATCCTGTTTCCCCAAATGACTTCATAGTGTACTGTTAAATACTACAAAATCTGCAGGAGAGGCTGTTGGAAAATTAACAATGGGGGTGACAGTGGAGAAGCAGGCGACGCAGAGGGAGGTTGGTTTAGCATAATGTGTACCTGCCTCTCTGGCTCATTCCCAACTATTGAGGAGCATTAAATAAACCATAGATCTTAGCCTGGAGAGAGATTTCTACCAGCCTTTTTTTAGTTCCGTGAGGCCTATACTGGTGGAACAGGATTTCTAATCCTCATCTATAAGTGGAAAGATGTTGTCATCTTTGTTTTCTTAAAGCCTAGACTGAGACTTGATGTCGCTCTGAGGGAAGAGGAAATGGACTGAGCATGAAGTAGTTTCCTTAAATATTTTCCTTGACTCCCCAACCCTCCATACCACAAAAATGCATTTAAAACACACACTTTGTATCTGATTTTGATTTATTCCATCCAGAAGAGATGTAAAAGTTTTTGCTATATTTTTAAATTTATAAAACTTTCCTTATGTAATGAGTTGATGGTTCTAGCTGTTCTTTAGTATTTCCATGCCATACGTTTACAGCGTTCTCAAGACAGCTTCAAACGAGACTATCAAAACAATTAAAACTTTGGCATACATGGCGATTGTTTCTTTTTCTTAAAGCTCATCAAAAGCAATGGTTTCCTGTTGATCATATGGGAGTCTTGCACTAGGATAGGAAAATGGGGAAAGCTGGGCACATATAGGCTCCTCAATAAAAATATTTTGTATATCAAGTAAACTGAGCAAATTATTCTCGAAGGCAAATTAACCCATGGACTGGAATCCTAATCCTAAAGATTTACACACGCCTAGAAGGAATCATGTACAAATTGCCACAAATTTATGAGGTGCCACTAGTGTTCTGGTTGCATTCCTCTAACAAGGAACCTGACCAGCACAGCATTTATTAGCAACAATTTGCTATGGTGCCATATGTGATTTCACCTACAAATACATAAATTACCAATGATTATTTTGCAATGGCCACATGAGAAAGGACAAAGTACAGCTCATGTGCTTGTATAGGAAAAGGAAGAAGACACAGTAGGGTACAGTGGTCGGAGTGGTAGACTGAGTCTTGGGAGATCTGGGTTAGTGTATTTTATTAACATAGTGTTCTGAAATCACCCTCAGACAGCACAATGGGTGCGGTGGGTTGGGACCTGGGAGATCCAGGCTGTAGTCCCCACACAGCCATAAACACCTCATGGAGTGTCTTTGCCTCAGATTCACATTAAGACTGGAAGAAGGAGAGCCCTGTAGATCCTCATTAGCTCCTCACGCAAAAGGAGAAATACATGCAACCAATAAACATATAATTTTCAGCAGATTTAGCCTCTTTGTGCAAGTCACAGTGGGTGACGTTTCCCCTTCCACACGCACCATTCAAGGCACCAAAGCCTTGCCCTCTTTTTCAACTGCCATCCTGCCTCTTGCAGATTTGTGTGACCCTGTTTCCAAAAGTGAAGCTTCAAAGAAAATAGTATTGTTTGGAGGGGGATGATGGGGAGGTTTGTGGCTTAGCAGACAACAGATATTAACTGGAGATGCCTAGAATGATCCCATTGCATGGCACATCACTGGGGCATGGCCAGTGCAAGCGAGGCAGTCAGGAGAACATTTTAGAAATAGGAGCTAGAGTGTAGGCTGCAGTTACATGACTTTCTGCTGGATGTAGTTCTGTCTGTTCGAGAGTAACAAGGATTGACCAAGAACATGTTGTGAAAAAGGAGGTTTAAAAATCTTAGATCCTTAATAAAGTACAACTTGAAATCTTTTGGAGGGAGGCAGGAGTTTCCCCTTTTAAAACTGAAATCATGTCTTTCATCTCTATAAATACATTTACAAAGCTATATATGCCCATGTTCTCCCTGCAAAAGCCATAAAGATTCCATGTAATTATCATCACATGAGCAGCTGATGAAAACACCTAATTACTATATAAACAACCCAATTATTAGACAAGTTGAACTGGTTTAGTAAAGTTCCCTTTGTTGCAATATTAACCTGTGGTTTACATGCTCTGAGTGTTTTGTGGAAGCTGAGAAGAGGATGCTAAAATCAGCAAGGATTCAAGGAGCTAAAAAGACTGAGACACATGGAATCTATCATTTATTTACAGAGGACAATTGTCACAAACCTTTCTAAAACATACGTAGATTCAAGGCACAAGCTATTACTGTCCAATAAAACACTCTCTCATTTGTAGTTCATATTCTAGTTTCAAATGATTGATCTTCCCTTTAATATTTAACTGTAGGATCTACCTCAAGAAACTTTAATATGGCAATGGTTGCATTTCACCTGCGATTAGGTGGATAGTAAATTAACTGTTAATACTTACTCCTTACTTCTCAAATCTGATTTTTCTTCAGAGGCATTTGGAAAAACTATCATTCTCAGTAGCAATGAGAATGGCCAGAGAACTTTTCTGAAATATGTAACTCTTACTCTGAATTAAGGGGTATATATCACTGTGCTCTGTGTCAGCCCTGCTTATGAACTGATGCCCAGGGCTTAAATGATATGAAATGGAATTAAAATGGTCACAAACTGAAGTCTGTGTGACTGATTTCCAGTTCAGCTCCCCAGAGTTAAAGAGAGTTTTCTCTCTTTCTCACACTAGAATTTGGTGTCATCCAGTGAAGCTAAATAGTGGGACATTCACAAGAGATGGGGAAAAGTAATTTACCCATGACACTAACAGATTTAGCTAGGACAAGACAGAGTGATCTTAAAGTGTGTAAGATGTTTTTTTGCACAAGCACAGACAGTATCCAGCCACTTACTCAATGACTGTTGCTTGAGCAGAAGAAACCAACAGGACTCTGTCCAATATGACAGATATGGCAATGGGTAAAAACTGTTCAGTCCTCTGGCACAACACAACTTGTGCCAGAGGACAGAAGTGAAGAGTGCCAAAAGAACGCTGTTTCAAATAAAGTAAAAAGGTTGAAAATGGGGTGCATCTGTGTTTAATTGACAATAATTAAGTGTTTGTTTGCTCTGTTGTATTTAAAGAGCTTTGCAAAGCAAAGTGTTTCTATTCCACAGAGATGAAAGGAAATCTGTTCTTTCAGTGAGTGATCTTATTATTATACTCGGGCTGGCTTAAGGCCAAACCCCACATTCCAGTGATGCTTTCTAGTCCTGACAAACAGATCAACTCACAGAAGTCATGTAAACTAGATTCTGAGGTAAAAAGTCTATGCTGGCATTCATCTGTGAACTTTGTTGGGAATTATTCAGTGCCTTGAAACTGTACCTGCAGGAGAATTTGGAAACTGTTGATCAACTGGCAGTTTTGTTTTGGTATTAAGAAATGAAGCATGGGCAGATAGGAATGGCCCTTGGCCAAGAGCATGTTTGTTGATTTGCAACTGTCATGCAATGGGTGGTGTGTACATGCCTTGACTTTTATGGCCCTTATGGAAGGCGGTATACAGGCCTTCCTCACATCAGATATGTCATTGGACTTCAGCTTCCAGGCAGTGTAGTCAATGATGAGGAAGCTGGGAGCTGCAGTACAGCAATCTCTGAAATGCAATATGTTTCCCATCCTTGATAGAGCTTACAATGCACTGATGCAACTCATTTATATCTGCTGGATCCCACAGAATTCAAAATAAACATGACTTGACATGTCAAAACCTCTCTTTCCACTTGGAATGACAAGCTGAAGAGGATTAGTGGGCTAGTTGTTTTAAAAAAACATCATAGGACCTATTTCACATATGTGAAATTCAACTGATGCACCTTATTTCAGCAGATCTGAAAGCTCAAATCCTACCTTCTCATGTTCTTTCTTCCTCAGTATGTGACTTTCTCGCAGAGCTTCAATCTCCATTTCCAGGTCTGTTATTATGATTGTCATGTTGTCAAGCTCCTTACGAATGTTCTCAACATCATCCTGCACACTTTGTCGGAGGGCTTTTTCTGTCTCATATCTTAGGCAAAAAGATAAAGTGTTACAAGATTGGAGGAAACAGACCCACATGTGGTTTGGACCCACAATTTATAAGACTAACTTACCTGCTGTATTCCTTGTTCTATCTCCCACCTTCACACCATAACAAACATATAGGTTGGAAAGACCCAAATGACACTAATTCATAATCTTCAGTGAAGCTCAAGATAAACATGGAAAACCTGACAGATGAATCAGTGCTTAATTGGTCTTTGGCATGAAATAAAAATTGGCCCAAAGGGGTTGCTTCTAAAACCAGTTTGGCTGCAAGCAAATCTCATGGGACAAAATGCTGATTCGATTGGGCAGCCACAGGCTACATAATTTATCATAGTTCTGTAATTATTGTGTATACAAGGAGGTTATCTTAAGACAGCCATATTTGTCCAAATTCATTTTGTCCATTTTATTAGGATGAAAATGATTAAAGTCAGCTAAGGGAGATAGAGGGAGGTCATTCTTTCATACACATGTTGTATTAAAAATGTTCCAGCTTCATTCTCCAACATCTCAGGGTAGAGGGATGAAGAATACTGACAAAATTCCTTATTTTTAGCTGACTCAAGATAAAGAAACATTGTCAATGAGAACTTTTTGAGCTCTGTGAGATTCCTTACTTCCTAAGAATACAAAAAGTGCTCCTCCACGAATTTTTTTGTACAAAACATGTCTCTAAGAACTACTGTCATCTCCCTTTGTGAAGCTATACACACATGCCCACATATATGCAGAGTAAATACAGAAGGACTGGTTGATTGATTAAAAAGATGCAAGCTACCTATCCCACATCACTAATTCTTTAAAAATCCATGCAACAAGATAGCAGCTACAGTATTGTAGTTTTTTACAGTATATTATTTGCATAAAAATCTTTCTCACTAATGTGAAAACTATAATCAAAACCAGACCTGGACTGGACTATGGTCTTGGGCCCTTGGGCTATAAGCTGCCCAATCCTGTCATACACAGCAATGAACTAGCTGGACTAACTTAGAGCAACGGCCGCTCCTCTGTTCTGAGAGTGTGAATATTAAGCATAACAATATTTGCCTGTAGAAAATATTTGCTAATATTCTCTTCTAAGACCTGATGGTATGAAAGTAAGCAGTGCATCATGTTTATTTAGAAACCTGTAGCCCAGGTTAAACTATTTGTGAACAGCAATGTTTACCATTTAGTATTCTATTTATTTTCCCACCTGTAATTTTCTTTGTTGGTACTACACTGCAGTGGCGTGGCTGCTAAATTATGGCTGTGACTACATGATCAAATACCTCAGAATTTCCTGCATTTACAGTATGGATTGATTTGAAGTATTTTTTTTCTCTCGATCACATGCTGCAAAGGCCAATTTGAATTGGTCTGGCCCTTTTTTCCTTCCAACACAACTTTTTTCCTTGGACACTAGGGGCTTCTACTTTTTTCAAGTTGCACTGATTTGGATGTACTTTTTCCTGTGTGATCAGTTGATTTGTTCTTGTCAAAACAGGGGGCCTGTCTGTGGGTGGTGTTTTGGTGACGTAGGCAGTGTGTCTGTGGGGTGGTGTTTTGGTGACGTAGGCAGTTGGAGTGCAATGCTCTGAACCATGAGAACACCCATCCCCTGTTCCCCCTGAATCATCCTCTAGTGTGATGCTCTGAACCATGAGAATATCCATCCCCTGTTCCCCCTGAATCATCCTCTGATTTTTTATATTTTTTACATATATGAGATTAGCACTAGATCACCTTATCTCCTTATCATTGGTAGTGATATACTAGTTTAGCGCTAAATCATATTCAGACAAGAATTTTTTTTAAAGAAAAAAATTATGAACAAAACAGATACAACTGAGACAAAATAAAAGACGTTCCTGTGGTATTTCAGTACACACTAAGAACAACTTTGGAATGCTGCCACTTCCCCCAGAATACTGTACAATCCTTTCAAAACAGTTGGCCCTGACAGAGAATCATAAAAGGATTGGCAGATGTGAGACCAGAAGAAGGACGGAAAGAAAGAAGGGGGACTATAGACTAAGATGCAAATTGCATTGCAGTGAATGTGAACACCGAACTCCTGAATCAATCCACAGGTCCTGTGTGATCACTGACTGTGCATTCACCTGTAATACAGGCGGCAAATCAAATTGCAGCAAGATCAAATTGCTATGAATCACAGCAGTTTGATTTGCCAGAGTAATCCTAGCCTAAGAAGGGCAAATTCTCAGAAGATGCATTTGGGTTTGTAGCTTTAGGTGTTCCTGGATTAATTGCTGTTTCCCCATTTCATCCTGAAAGCTTTGAGAAATCTTCCACAGAAAGCTGTGGCCATCTTTGTTAGTTTCTGATTGTCGTTTATCTTCTTGTAACCTTGAAGCCCTTAAAGGACTTGGCTTCTACACACCCACGAGATTCTTATCTTTTTGCCTATTTCGCAATCTTACCTTTGTTAAGGCAACTATAGGTTAAAACAGAGATGCATGTATTTATCAGACACATGCTTGCGTGTTAACCAATAAAAAGGGGATGGGTTTCATCTTCATATGAGTGGGAAGGGGCAAAGGCTGCCTCAGTGCCTTCAGCTGCTTTAAGTCATTTTTCCTCCCCCGGCTTCAGGTAACTGGGAGTGAACTGGGTTGGGGTGAAATTTCTTAAAGCAGAAGGACACCGTGAGGTAAGGTGAGGCAGGGGCTGGTCTCGCTCTGTTCCCTCACATACTAATTTAAACAAAACAAAACCCATCCTCAACCCTTGCCTTTTTGGTAAACAGGCAAGTGTTGCTCTGTTCCCTCACGTACTAATTTAAAGAAAACAAAACAAAACCTCTCCTCAGCCCTTGCCTTTTTGGTAAACAGGCAAGTGTACATTGGGCAAAACCAATAAAGGCGGTTGCAGCACCTTAAACACTAATAAGGTTTTTGTTATGTTTGTGTTGGGGGAGGCATCTCACGTCTTTAAATGCACATGACAGTATCTCTGCTGGGAGGCCAGTTATTGATGAGAAATCTTTTCAGTTTGGTGGCTGTCTATGTGCAACTATGGTTGTCTCACTTGGGGCCTGTTTGATAGACACAGCATTGTCCAGGGTTGTCACTAGTGATGCTTATGACTGATTCTAGCTAAGAACTGTAGCTTGTAGTAAGTGATATTGTAAACATGTTTATGAGTAACCTGGCCTTTCTCAGCAGATTACTCACAAACATGTTCAAACTCACCCATAAACTCAAACATAGTTTGCAGAAAAAATATGACATGTCATGGAAATCCTCCCCCTAGCAACCAATAAGAAGCTAGATCCACACTGGCAGCCACAGTATTCCCTCAGTCCATTGCTATGATTTCAGATTGGCCTACTGAGCAGCTTAATTGCTGGTCACTGATTTTATTGGCTTTGGTAATAATTTGGTGGGCAGAGATGGGAAACCAACGGCCCTCTGAATGTTAGAGAACTACAACATCCATCACACCTGTTCATTGGCTATGCTGGCTGGGATGATGGGAGGAGAATTCAACAGCACCTGAAGGTCCTCCATGCTGTAGTTAAGGTGTAATAAATATTATGATTCCCAATATGTTTGGTAATTTTAACCATGTTTAGCCTGTAATCTCCTGTGTGATGAGTAGATTAATTTTATTACTTAAAGCCACAAAATGGATTTTAAGGATTAATACCAAATTCAATGTCCTTGTTCAATTGTTGCTTCCAGTAATGAGAAGAACAGGAAAGAACTTACTTGATCCTAAAGTCCTCAGTTGCCATTTTTGCATTGTCAATCTGTAGAACAATGCCTGCATTGTTAACCCGTCCAGTTTCAATCTGTAAATAATAAAGATAGAATTAATCTCACTATGGATATGGTGTTTTGGTTTGTTGTTGGCAGTTGTGTTGGGACTTTTACTTTGAACACATTGGATCTTGAGGGGGAAATGTTCTGTGATATCTTGAAGGTGAATTATTTTACACTTTGCTAGTAGAACTAGCAAAGGGATGTGGTGGTGCTGCAGGTTAAACTGCAGAAGCCTCTGTGCTGCAAGGTCAGAAGACGTGCAGTCATAAGATCGAATCCACTTGACAGAGTGAGCTCCCGTTGCTTGTTCCAGCTCCTGCCAACCTAGCAGTTCGAAAGCATGTAAAAATGTGAGTAGATAAATAGGTACCACTACAGTGGAAAGGTAACGGTGTTCCGTGTCTAGTCGCGCTGGCCACGTGACCACGGAAACTGTCTACGGACAAATGCTGGCTCTACGGCTTAGAAACGGGGATGAGCACCATGCCCTAGAGTCGGACACGACTGGACTAGATATCAAGGGAACCTTTACCTAGTAGAACTACAAATCTGGTCAAGTAGGCTTCAAGTAGAAGTGGGCTGCAGACTGAGTAAATCATTCTTGTGGCTCCAGAATCAGAAGATCATTGCATCTTATTCTGTGAAAGCTGCTACTACAGACAACCTATTAGTTTTCAAGGCAGAGCTTTGAGAAATCACTTTGGAGAATTATAAGTTCTGGAGCAAGCATAGGCAGAAGTCAAGGTGGCTGGGCAATACTGGGAGTTATTGTTACTGAAAGGGTAGTTTTTCCAGACTTTCCACACCACTGAGGCTGTTTGTTACCATTGCTATAGACCAGCATATATCTGTGGATTCACATACTCATAGAACCATAGAATAATTGAGTTGGAAGGGGCCTATCAGGCCACCATGTCCAACCCTTGCTCAGTGCTAGAATCCAAATCAAAACATATCTGACAGATGGTTGTCCAATTTTCTCTTGAATGCCTCCAGCATTGGAAAGCCCATCACCTCCTTCAGGTAATTGGTTCCATTGCCACACTGCTCTAACAGTTAAGGCATTTTTCCTGATATTCAGCTTCAGTTGTGAGTGGTTAGCTTAATGTTAGGAAAGAACAAGGTATAGAAAACATGGAGAACAAAACAAACAAACAAAAAATATACCAAGACTTTTGTCTCTGCCACTGAACTATCCATTTACGTAAAGCATGGAAAATTTCTCAAGCTGAATGTGATTCACACACTTAGCAGGTTTGATATTCAGGCAGCCAAACTAATATAGGTTCCATTGTTTAAAGTCAGGTTTTAAAACTGGCTGCAGAAACAAGTCTGGCAATTCACGTGCAATGGCCACTGCCTGGTGAGGGCTGATCCAGATGTCTGATGAACAAGGGTGGATGCTCCATTGTGCAATATTTTGGAAAATACTGAGAGCAATTTCATTTCACTTCTAGTCTCAGATTGGAACATACTGATTGTGAATTTGTTCTACTGAATCAATGCACAATTCTTTGGACTTTTGATTACTGATGCTCCCTCCCCTACTCCTTTCCCTTAGTTTTGGTATAGCTGTCATTTCATAGGCCACAGTGACTTTCCATTTTCTGTTTAATTTAGTAAGTGTCATAGCACTACAGCAATACACCAATCTAGCATGGATACTCCCATATATTTGAAATAGTGCTGCATCACTTAGGATAATATTTTAAAAAATCATGAGGAGAGGAAAATAGAGGAGAGGATCTCTTCGCCATCCGTTCTACTGTCACAATCCATTGCATATCTCACAGGGTTGTCACTGAAGAGAGTGTCACCCATAGCTGTATTTGGGAGCAAATTAATCATCCATCCAGACTGCAGAATGGATAATCAGGAATGCACCAAATAAATAGCAGCCTTAGTGCTGTACCAGAAAAGAGTGGAACAACTCACAAAAGGAGCAGGATGGACTGCTCATATTTAAAACACATACGGTTGTTGGAAAATAGGGCAAATCAAGCCACACTGAATTGAACCAAATAGTGAGCAATATGCTCACCTGATCACTCGAGAGTGGTAGATTTTAGATTTTAGTCCTGTGCTCCAAGATTGTTAACCTGGGCAGCCACTTGTAGGAGGAGAATAACTGGTTATTGCTGCTCAAAATTATATGACACATTTCTCCCGGAAGGACTACAGTCTTGTGCATAAAAAGGGGAAAGAAAAGTAAAGAAATTTAACATATTCCTCTCTGGTTAGACAGAAGAAGAAACTGCAGTTTACTATTGGGAAGATTTTCTTCTTTTTTGAAATAAAATTTATCATACTTCCATCAATAAAGAACAAGCTGCTGGTTCTGGAAATAACCCAGTTCAATTAATCTGACCGAGACATGTTGCTCCCTCCCCATACATTCTTTGGTCCCGCATGATGAGTACTATTCAACTTCCCTGCAACACATCTCACCTCTTTGTCTGAATTCCCAGCCTGTAGATCAGACCTGGGCAAAGTCGGCGCTCCTGTCTGGCCCGTCCGTCGCTGCTGAGTGAGCTGGAGCTCCAGCTCCAGTCACCCAGCACAACAGTAAGCAAAACTTGTGAGATCCGACGCTGGGATCTCGCGAGTTTTGACTATTAGTCTTCAGCCGCAGGCTGCGGAGCCTGCGGCTCAAGAGGCCAGAAGCAATCCTTGCGCAGACGACATGATGATGCATCACGTCGCCTGCGGAGGATAGAGGACAGTCGGAGAGGAAGGCCACAGGGGAACGGAGGACAGGTGAGTGAGCTCAGTTTCCCCCCCCCCATCCCCCCTGTGATGAACGAATTACAATGATCACATAGTTAACTCCCTAAAAAGTAGTTCATTCACTGCAGGGCCTCACCCAATGGGTTTCATTTTATTTTTAAGTAACGTTGGTTTTGCCCTCAAACACAGTTCAGATTTTTCATGTGGCCCCCTATAGAAATTAATTGCCCACCCCTGCTGTAGATTCTAGTGAGCAAGAGCAAATATGTCGGAACACGTTCACAGAGTATTTCTGCGGACACTAGAAGTCCTGCAATCACAGTTCCAGCAGGGCTTGAGGAGACAAAGTGTTGGGCTTTTCAGCCAGATGATTATGTCTATCTGCCATCCCATCCTCCTCTGTTCTTAGCTGCCTCACATTAGCTGGAGGGACCAGGAGATGGACTTTTACAGCAATAGCATAGTGCTAAGAGCTATCCTATCCCTGTTGTTATGCTAAGTATTTTAGGATGGTTGTTGTGGGTTTTTCAGGCTCTTTGGCCATGTTCTGAAGGTTGTTTTTCCTAATGTTTCACCAGTCTCTGTGGCCGGCATCTTCACAGAACAGGAGTAGCACTTTGGGAGTACAGTATTTATAGCTGTGGGATCAGCTTTTGTTCTTTTCAGGAGATGGGTGATTATGGTGATCAATGTGTTTTTGTTGTGGGTCTATTGTTATGGTAAGGAGGAGACATTATCTGTCACTGTGATTGATGGGTGTCGTTAGCTGGTCTTTTGTGTGTAGTGATCAACAATCCTTGTGGCTGGGTAGAGTTTGTTGACCTTTTGCAGGCTGTATTTTTCAGTGCTGGGAGCCAAGCTTTGTTGAGTTTTAATTTTCTTCTTTTTTGTTGAAGCTCTGCTGGTGTTTCTGGATTTCAATGGCTTCCATTTTAGGATGGCTTAATCTTTAATGGGCAATTACGACTCCACCTATTCCTAGTGGAAATGAGAGCAGCTACAACTGGTTTGTTGATAAGGATGTGCAATAATATCTGCCTGCTGTTTTTGGACTCTTCTTAGGGTGTGTAGCTAAGGGGAATTTCATAATAGGTACCTGCATTTATCACTGCACCACTACCCTTCCAAGGTATGAAGAATCTCCTACTGCCAGTCCTGAAATAATTGGTTTGTTTTGCCTCTGTCGATCTGGCATTTTGAACCTTGGTAAAATACTTATGTGCTTTATATTGAACCACTGCATTACTCCTATAGAATTAAAGAGTAATAGTTGGAATGTTTGTAACAGTCAGAATGTTGGCTGGAAGTTGAGAGCAAAGCAAAGCAAAAGCAAAGCGTGCTGCTTATATACCGCCCCATAGCGCTTCAAGCACTCTCTGGGCGGTTTACAAGTTAATTATGCAAGCTACACATTGCCCCCCCCCCAGTGAGCTGGATACTCATTTTACCGACCTCGGAAGGACAGAAGGCTGAGTCAACCTTGAGCTGGCTACCTGGGATTGAACCCCAGGTCGTAAGCACAGTTTTGGCTGCAGTACAGCAGTTTAACCACTGCACCATGAGGCTAGATCTAGATTCATATTCCCAACTAGCCATGAGACACACCAGTTGCTCTTTCTAAGCCTGTCCTACCTCACAGGACTGTAGAAAGAAGGTAAACTGCGCACACCACCTGGGAAGCAGCATCCCAATCATGTTCCCCACTGATTTATATATACTGTATATAAATGTGTTGCACTGTTATTGTCAGTAGGTTAAAAAAAAGGGTTATCCCATAAAAATATGGAATGCTGTTTAGATATTACACCTTGGACAGAGTTATTAAACTACAACAGATAAAATCAGAGCCCAGTTACATGGATTGATAAAAAAAAAGGCATGAAACCTGAAAAATTCCTTTCGAATTATTTGTAAAAATGCACCAGAATGCTATTTTTTATTTATGAGTGTTATTACACTTACAAAATAATGTAATTATTAGTTGCATTGCTCATTATCCAAAAGTAACTATTTATAGGAAATTATCTTATTGGTAACTAACATTCCCAAGATCTGGATGCAGTCATGACTAATAGCCACTCAAGATGAGTTTGTCCAGTTCCCTTTGAAAGCTGTTGAAGTTTTTGGTCATCCCTACATATTGCCTTTGAAAATCCCACAGTTTTGAAACGTTACTCTTTTCTTTACTATTGCCTTCAGAATAGTTTGTGCTAGTGGTAGTCTGAAACAAACACAGAAAAACAAAAAGGAGAGAGAAAGCAATGTTTCCAAGTGCTGGTGAAAGGAATGCTGCTACCTTCAT